GGGCGCCGCGCTCCGCTCCGGCCGAACCCAGGCGCCAGGTTCGCCCTCCTGCGCCGAAGCTGGTCCCGGCCTCTGCTGTTAGAGGCTCCCCGGCTCCCGGGGCTGGCAGGGGTCAGGGGCGGCAGGATCCCTGGACACCCGGGCGAAGGGAGCCTCCCCGGCACAGCGAGACCTCGGCGGGCCCGCGTTGCTGGAGGAATCCGGCGGGGCGCCCCACGCAGGAAGAACCAGCCCGGGCTGGACCTGCAAGTGGCAGCGCTCGCAGGAGGCGGCGCTGGGCGCGAAGGCTGGGCGCAAACCAACAGCTGAAAGGGCCCCAAGGAGGCCAGGTGCCCGCGCCCTGCGCAGCCAGCAGCCCCGCGGCAGGGCGACGCCAGGACACTGGCTTCCTGGAACTGCCCGAAGTTCTGCTCGGCTCCTCCTGCAGGGCTCCGCCCGCCCGCTGCCGCCTCCAGAGTCCAGCTCCCGGGTCATCAGGAGTCACAGACCTGAGTGCGAGCCAAGCCCCCGCGCTCCTTCGCACGGGGCTGTGCTGGGGTCCACCTGGCCTCCTGCGAGGCTGGGTGTTACCTGGGCGATGGTGGAGCCAGGGCTCTCTGCCATCCGCGAGCCTGCAGCTGCTTCCGTGGATGAACACAAGCAACCGCTCCTGTGTCTTAACAAACCAGGGCAACCCCTACACTTTAAATTCCTGTGCTTGTTCCCGCCAAGATTCCAAACGAGAACTCAGAGCAGTTTATAAAGAAACACAAAGGCAAGCGGAAAACTCGAAGAATGGCAGCTGGGAAGCCCCACAGAGAGAAGTCAGACGAAGAGGACAGAAAGTCTTGGAAAGTCTGCAGACCACGGCATCCTGCCTCCCTGTTATCCAGGCCCACAAACGGCCCCGTGCCCCACTCCCTGTCAAGGAAATGTCACAGTGACACAAAGTGTACTGTCCATGTGGTAAATGTGAAGCGCTTTAAACTGCAGCCCATTCTGAAGGCTTCCTGGGAAATTCTCCCCGGTCCCCAGAGGAGAGTCTCCCGGGGTTCGGAGCTCTGTGTCAGCTCTGGAAGCGTGGCCTTCCTGCAGCTGTCTGTGGGCATTTGTGACAATGTTCTTCAGCGTGACCTCGCTGTCACTGGATCTCAAGACACAGGGAAGTGACTGCTAGAGGGGCGGGGCACTTCTGGCACGGGGTAGAGCCATGGGTTTGCTGCCCGCCCCCTTGGAACCTCTCTGGCAAGCCTGAGTCTCTGCGGGTGCCACTCAGACACAGTGTGACGTTCCAGTCAGTGTTGTACTCCTAGGCAGGCACCTGGAGTGCGGTGACAACTGCGTTACGCGTTGGGAGCTGTGTAACTGGGCCAGCAGGAATGACTTCCTCTTGAAAGACCAGAGGAGCCTCGTACAGATGGGCCCCATGGAAGGGCTCTGCCAAGGTTTCTGGGCAGAGGCTGGGTGCCCTGTGTTCCTGTCATCACCCAAGGATGACACCCACAGCCCACCTCTGTGCTGAGCACGGACCCCATTCTCCTGTGCAGTCCACAGCTGCCTTGTGCTCACACCTGCCCTTACTGGGGCAGATGACTCTGGTTTGGAGATGTTCAGTAGCTGCTAAAGTCGGGGTGGGGACTCGGCTGGCAGGAAAGCCCAGCGCTGAACCCTATCAAGTGAGCTCTTCATCCTTCTCCTCTTGTGCTGCTTCTAACCCTGACCCAGCGGTGATGTCCAGACACCAAATTCCCTTTCATTACATCTCCAAATTATTAAATCAGGTTCAGCTAAAATTTTGCATGGCCACAATATTTTCAGATAAAGTCTGCATACCAGCAAGTGCATATGAGACACCAGTATTCCAAAACAAACTCTGAAGTGTGTGTCCGTTTTCGTAACACAGGCCGTTTGTCCTCATGCCTGCATGCCTGAGAAACTCTTCCATTGGCTGACAAGCGTTTGTCTTCCCAGAAGAAAATTCTGAGAATGTTGAACAGGAGTCCAGTGTTTTCTAGGAGAGACACAGCACTGAGCTCCTCCCACCCTGTGGAAGGAGAAGAAACAGGTTCTTGCCTGGATGCAGAAGCAAGGCCTTGGATATTTTAAGCTCCATCTTAGGGGGGGGGGGCATTTGACCACCTGTTTTTTTCTTTCTTTTTCTGGTCTTGGAAGTCAAAGCAAAGACTCATGAGAGAAGAACCCACAGTAGCAGATTTCAGAATTTTAAAAATCTATGCATTTTTATAAATTCTTGGTGCAATCTAAAGTGGATACACTTCCCTCAGAGGAGACAGGGTTTCTGCATCCCCTGAACCCTTTTTTGGAGAGTGGCCAGTCTGTCTGGGCTGGGGATGAATGAGGGAATGGTGGCTCTCAAAGCTAAAATTCCACTAAAGCACTCGCTTCTAAAGTAGGACTCTACCAACTGGAGCTTGCAAAGAGCTCTTCCGAAGAGTATTTCAAGGTGACACAGGATCTGATAACGTTGCCCTGCAGCAGGGGGAGGCTGGGGGACAGCTTGGGTGGCGCAGGTCAGGGGTTGGAGGAAGACTCGGGCTTCACCTGTTCCACCTTTTCCAGGCATGGGGTTTTGTCCTGTGCACCTGCTTGTTCAGGAGAGTTTTGGCCCTCACAAGGCCCTGCTTGGCCTCAGGCGCTCCTGGTGGATTTCGGCCTCTCACCCCTTCTCATCCAGCCTAATCTGTGCCCCAATTCCACCGAGACCTGTGTCCTGCAGAAGATAGTGAAGAGGCCTCTTTTCGGGGCATGCTGGTGGCAGACTGCGAAGGTCTCCCTGCAGCCTCCCCAGAGCACAGGCTGTGCAGGGTCGAGCAGGGGCCTTGGCGCTGCGTCTGAGCAGCAAGCAGATCGCTGCACAGGTGGAAACCAGCAGTAATTCGTAGGCCCAGCAGAGAGGTGAGGTGCTGGAGCAAATCCCCGCGCTCCCCCCGCCCCCCAATTGCAGCCCTGGGTGGGAAGAGGCAGGAAAGCACCAGCAGCTCGTGGAGCAAAAACTTGGGTTCCACGTCCCGTCCCCACCCCGAACCCCGAGCCTGGGCGGGAAAACCTGAGCTGCCAAGGGCCCGTGAACAAGAGGGCAGGAGGGGAAGTCTCCAGGAGACCCGGTCGCGGGGCGGGCGCTGGCGGGGCTGGTGCAGGAGACCCGGTCGCGGGGCGGGCGCTGGCGGGGCTGGTGCAGGAGACCCGGTCG